GAGGCTTAAGCTAACATACTTTCCATGCTTGGATAACATGTTCTTATAATTGAAAATCTAGGAAGCATCCGCAGCTATTAAAGATTCATTAAGGTAAAACACAACCATATCATTAAGTGTAATATAAAGTCCCCTCTCACCGGTCCATCGCTTTTCTATTACTACTACTATTGATAGTACTAGTACTATGTATTCAATAGTGTATTTTAGGGGATAATCTGATGCTTGCAACATAGTTTTGCAGCGTAACAAAAATTACAACAACAGTACTCCCTCCGTAAAGAAATATAGTACTAGTACCGTGTTTGGATGTCTCCATTGATGCCATGGAAACTTAATTGGCATTCAGCTGGCAGCAATGCAGGTGTTTGGCTGGACACCGAATTTGTTATTGGAAACGAAGAGACAATTCAGCTGTTTTGGCTCCCACGTAAAACTCCCTCCCACGATTCGCAGGGCCTCTGCTCTGATTTCGGTTGAAATCACCCGCTCCCACAAAACATATCGTTTCACTTCACTCCCGCAACCACGAACAGGAGAAAAGGAAAGGGAGAGACTCGGCTGCGACCTAGCAGTGAGAGATATACTCAAAAAAGGAAAGGGAGAGACTCGGCTGCGACCTAGAAGGGAGCTCGAAGGACATCCAAACGAAGCATGAGTGTTAAGATCACTAAAGTAGTGATCTAAATTCTCTTATATTTGTTTAAGGAGGGAGTCCCATTTAGTGGTGGTTCAAGAATTAAGCTTCAAAGTATCTTTCAAAGTAGTGAATTATATTATTATTTTAGAATTTCTATTCTCCTTTTGCTTATCATTCATACTAGGACACCCTTGGAAGCAGGAAAGGGTTACTTTGTTATTTACTCACTCTTCATAATTGACTATTGTTCTTTTGTTATATGCTTATAGTGGGTCGAATAGTAAGAAAGCTTGCAAAACCCTTGAGAACCACAATACTCTTGTATTGTTTGGCAACTATGTGTTGCACACAATGTCAATCTTATGTTAAAAGATATAGCAAACTTTCCTGATGTTGGTGTGATAGTCAAAATGGCCAAGACAATATGTAGGTCCATGCATAACCACAATAACCTCCATGATAATACTTGGCCCTTTTGACTATCACATCAGCCTCTGGAGATTTTGCTATATCTTTCAACATAAGATTGACGGTGTGTGCATCATATGGTTGCCAAGCAATATGAGAATATTGTGGTTCTTCTATATGGTTTCGCAAGTTGTCTTATAATTCGACCCATTTTCAGTTACAATTTGAACTATATGCTCATGGCACATCTCCTCTACAACCTTTCCAATCTCTCTATGGATATGTAAAATACATATACCTAATAAGAACATAAGCAAGTATCGTAAGAACACATGTAAAATGTATATACCAAATTAGAACGAAGCAAGTATTATAAGAATATAAGATAATTATAGAACAGATCCAAGTCTTTCTAGAAGCAAGAATTATAGGAGTGCAAGAAAGTAAATGTGAAGAAGAGGAGAAGGAAGTAACCTAAATTCTGAGTTTGGCTCGATGTATGAATGGTTTTGAGGAAAAACATTCATGTATTACAATACACCATGGAGTTTATGACGCCCATTCCTATAGGTCCGGTCCAAGACTCGTACATAAGAGTCACACCAAAGTACTTTCAATCTTATTTGAATTTTTGAAGAAACAAACTAGCTTCATCATAGTTGGCCTCGAGATATCTCCCATCAGGCTCCTTCGCATTTGGTATAGGAATAGGCCTTAATTATTGAGTGATCTTCACATCAGCTCGAAATTATGGGCAATCAACTTTAGTACAACAATGTCATTGGCCTGAAAAAACTTGGACCAAGATAGGCCAAGTATATCTCTCGAATTAGGATCCAAAGCAGTATTGATCTTAGGATGCATAGATATTTTGTTGCTGGATAATTCCTTGTCAAAATGGAGGTGATACTCCTTTTACCAATAGAAACCCACACATCACACACGCTGCCCCTCCCAACCCTCCTTCTACTTTGCGAGAGACATTTGGGTCATGCAATGCCTCTCTAATTGACATATGATTTTCTTCTTCTTCATCATCTGCTACGTTAATCACCCCTCCTCTTTGATACAGCACTTCCATGGTATTTTTTTATTCTCAGTTTACAATTTTGTTTCTCTTTTCTTCCTCTTTAATTCATCCCGGTACTCCCTCATTGCATCTCTCACATTTCTTTGCAAATTTGGGAACACCCTCACATTACCTATAATACCACCAAGGTGCTTCGCGACACGTGTTGCACCTCTACCTTTGTAATTTTGGCTGCAGTACATCCAATCAAATACCTCGTAATACGCCCATACATGGTTCCAAGTGTTATACATGTTATTTTCTGTAAGTCCTACATTGCAAATTTAGAAACAACATCACTTTAATTGAACTGGGCAAATCAAGATCATAGTTCCATTTGCATAGTACAAACAAGAAAGCATATTAATACCTTTCCAAGATCTTTGGGATCTACTTGCATTGGCATCATGGTTGCCACTGCCACTCCCACTTACAGTACATGGCAAACATATGACAAAAGAACAAGAGAGAAGTGCATATTTCAACCTTGAACTCATGCTTTAGTTTAATTTGCAACCCTAAACTCTAATACCAGTTAGAAAACAACCCTGAACTCTCAAATCCATTTAAATTACCCCCCTCACTTGGCCTAAAGGTGGTATTGGCATATGTGGCATGTATTTGACCGAATTGACCAAAAATCAGAGTGTCAGGAAATTTTGAAAAAATATGTATAATCAAAACTACTAAACCAAGAATCTGGGAAAGTTTCACGCTTTTGTGACAACTAATTTTAAAATACAGTAGAAATGGATTTTCTAGGTGAAATTTCTATTGTATTTTTGAGGGACAATTCCATTTCTCCCCCCTAACTTGAACCCCCACCTACGATTTGCCCCTAAAATTCGATTATGCTCAAAAATACCCATCTCGTAT